CGTTGGTTCACTCCCCAAATGGCCGCCACAGCTGGCGCTGCACCAATCCGAAGCCAGGAGCCAGGTGCTTCCTCCTGGTCTCCCATGCAGGTGCAGGGCCCAAGCACTTGGGCCATCCTCCACTGCCCTCCCGGGCCACAGCAGAGAGCCGGACTGGAAGAGGAGCAACTGGGACTAGAACCCGGCGCCCATATGAGATGCCGGCACCGCAGGCAGAAGATTAACCAAGTGAGCCATGGTGCCGGCCACCTAAGATGAATTATTGAAGGAAATCTGTAGGCTTATTTTACAGCAAGCCTTCTCCTAGAGCAGGCTCAATGACATCATCAAAGTTCCCCGTGTTCTTCCATATTTTCTAACCACCCTACCCTCAAAATGGAATGGTTGTTACGCTGTCTGCCAATAGCTGTTGAGACCAGATGCTCTCAAATCTAAATTTAGAAAGGATGGCTTTCTGTGGCTTAACTTTAATCAGGGCCCAGCCCGACCTGTGACTGGACTGGCCTTGAATCTCATGGTCTACATAAAAGGGTACGTGAAGCTAGGAAAATAGGAATTTATTAGGAAAGAGGTGGTGGGGAAGGAACGCTGAGCAGGCAAACAGTACTAGCAACCACATGGAATCTTTTAGGTCGAGTCGGCAGGCTTTCCAATGGATTAGATATTGAGAAAAGAGAAATCAAGAATTGTTCTTCTTGTTTTGGATTCAACAACTGGGTACTAACTGAGAAAGGGAAGGCGAGAGGAAAGACGTGGTTTGCGCAGGATAATTAAGGCTATTTTCAACAAGTTAACTTTAAGATATTCATTAGAGAGGCAATCAAGTTTGTTTGTTTTTAAGATTCATTTATTTGAAAGACACAGAGAGATAGAGACAGAGTCTTCCATCCGCTGATTCACTCCCCAAATAGCCACATTGGCTGGAGTTGAGCCAATCCAAAGCCAGGAGCCAGGAGCTTCTTCCAGGTCTCCCATGCGGGTGCAGGAGCCCAAGGACTTGGGTCATCCTCTGCTGCTTTCCCAGGCGCATTAGCAGGGAGGGAGCTGGACTGGAAGTGGAGCAGCCACAGCATTCAAGTTTTTAGCTGGATATTTGAGTTTGAAATTTCAGGGATAAGCCCAAACAGAAAATAGACTTGAAATCATATTTAAACTATTTTTCCTTAAAGCCAACTGAGATGGGATGAGATTACTAAAGACATAGCATGATAGAGCAAGTTAACTCAGGTCAGAGTCTAGACACAAGCCAAGATTTGTTTATGTATTTTTTATTTGAGAGGCAGAAGGGGAGGTGGGTGTGTGTAGGCAGGAGGGAGGGTAGAGACAGAGAGAGAAAATGCACATTACCCCCTTCTACTAGCTCATTTCCCAAATGCCTGAAATGGCTAGTACTGGTCTAGGCCAAAACTGGGAGCTGAGAACTTCATCAGGTCTCCCATGTGGTGGCAGAGTGCCAGCTACTTGAACCATCACCTGCTGCCTCCCAGTGTCTGTCTGCGCTGTTGGTAAGCTGAACAAAGAACTAGAGCCAGGAATCAAACCCAGGCACTCTACCATGGGAGGCAGGTATCTTAACCACTAAGACAAATGCCTGACCCAACAACAAAACTTGGACTTGGAATACAACAGCAATCATTAAGGTAGCCAGAAAATCCAAGAACATCCCAGCATTTGCATGGGTACCGTGATTGTGGTGCAAGTTACAGTTGTCTGCCAGAAGGGTGGGTTATACTCTCTCTTGACAAGTGTGGGATGAGAAACGGTATATATGGGGGGCGCCGTGACACAGTAGGCTAAGCCTCTGCCTGCAGTGCCAGTTTGTGTCTTGGCTGCTCCTCTTCTGATCTAGCTGTGTATGGCCTGGGAAAGCAGTGGAAGATGGCCCAAGTGCTTGTGCCCCTGCACCCACTTGGGACACCCAAAGAAGCTACTGGCTCCTGGCTTCAGATCGGCCTAGCCCTGGCCATTGCAGTCATTTGGGGAGTGAACGTAGATGGAAGACCTTTCTGTCTGCCTCTAATTCTGTCTCTCAAATAAGATTAAAAAAAAAAATGACAAATTGTTTTCAAAATTCAGTGCAGACTGTGACATGTCATACAAAATAAGGTGTTAGTATTTCACACAAACTTCTAAAAGGCTATGCTAGTCCTCTAAACATTTACTGGGAATACAGCATCCATAGCAATTCTAAGCCAAGACCTAATGAAAAATGCTGATTGTTACATGTAAAGTATTTCAAGTATAAATGAATTATGGAAAATGATTACTTAATATTTATGAAAAAAAGTCATCCAAAAAACAAATACTACAGAAACTTTTTTTTTTTTGGACAGGCAGAGTGGACAGTGAGAGAGAGAGAGAAAGGTCTTCCTTTATCGTTGGTTCACTCTCCAATGGCCGCTGCAGCCGGCATACCATGCTGATCCGAAGCCAGGAGCCAGGTAGCTCCCATACGGGTGCAGGACCCAAGGACCTGGGCCATCCTCCACTGCACTCCCGGGCCACAGCAGAAAGCTAGACTGGAAGAGGGGCAACCGGGACAGAATCCAGTGCCCCAACTGGGACTAGAACCCGGTGTGCCGGTGCTACAGGCGGTGGATTAGCCTATTGAGCCATGGCGCCAGCCGGAAACATTTTTATCAATAAAAACTACTGTGGAATAAATTTTCGGTAAATTTCATTTCTCCATCTATCCACTCAATTAAAATTCAAGGAGCACTTAATGTGGAAGAGACTTTAATAGGTGATACTGAGAGAGAAATCCAAGTTGTATAGAACAGAGGTTTTTTTCCTTTTCCCATCACTTCCTAGCTGGGTGACTGTAGGCAAATTACTCAGTCTCTTGGTACTTCACTTTGTGAAATATGACAACATGTCCTCTATCAAGTTATGAAGATTAAATTAAGGCACATAAAGAGCTTAGAACGACGTCAGGAACACAGTACTTAGTTATTAAGGGGCGATAAAGAAACTTAGTAGTGGTAGAATAGCTCAGCAAGGAAAGAAACAAGAACTTCTTGATTACCACTGTGTGGATCATTACTGGGAGTTATCTTCAGCTCTGCAGGTATTCTATTTCTACAGAACAGGAAAACCGTTTTGAAACTTGCTTGGGGCCGGTGCTGTGACGTAGTAGGTTAATCCTCTGCCTGCAGTACCGGCATCCCATATGGGCGCCGGTTCAAGACCCGGCTGCTCCACTTCCAATCCAGCTCTCTGCTATGGCCTGGGAAGGCAGCAGCAGATGACCCTGCACCGTATGAGAGACCTGGAAGAAGCTCTTGGCTCCTGATCCACCCAGCTCCAGCTGTTGCAGTCAACTGGGGAGTGAACCAGTGGATGGAAGGCCTCTGTCTCTCCTCTCTGTGTATAACTCTTTCAAATAAATAAAACTTTAAAAAAAAAGTTTACAAAGACTCCTTCTGCCTACTTCACAAGGTCGTTGCCAAGATCAAAAGTTAAATTTATAAACTGTAATATCTCATAATTTTTTCAGATGCCTACCTCTACTACACTTCATCATCCTGATGCCAAGAACCAGTTTTCAGGTACCCAATCCAAACTACAGATAATTCATTGAATCCAATGCTCAATTACTAGGAGGTTTCAAAACTGTACTGTACAAGTTAAACTTAGGTCACATAAAACAGACATCACTCTTGGTACTGATCTGATACTGTTAAGGTGAGTACCTCCGAACAGAATCTTGAAAAAATATACATCAAAATATTTCTTAGAATATTATAAGATTAACATGGTTGCCTGTGCTTCACTAAACAGCAATAGTGCATTTGATCTTCTAGTAGTTCTGTCAGGGGAAGCAAGCCAAGTTTATGCGTGTCTTAGGAGAGAAAACATGTTGGTATTCAAAATCATCTTGAGACATAATTTGTATTTCAGGTCACTCCAATTTTGGTGTCTACATTGCATTATGTTACACATATATTTGAAATTACTCAACAGTACAGATGAGTCTACTTTGTAATGAGCAATAAATTTAACTCTGAAAATATTCCTAATAAAAATTCTGCATGAGCTTCCTTCTGTCATAGCAGAATGAATCCTCTGCATACAGAATAAAATCTCACACTCTCAAAAGTAGACAACAGTGATCACTTTGCAGAAACTTAATTGTACTACTTAAATTCGCTAGTAGGGGCCGGTGCTGTGGCATAGCAGGTAAAGCTGCCGCCTACATTGCTGGTATCCCATGTGGGTGCCAGTTAAGAGTCCCAGCTGCTCCTCTTCCAATCCAACTCCCTGCTAATGTGCCCGGGAAAGCAACAGCGATGGCCCGAGTGCTTGGGCCCCTGCACCCATGTGGAAGCTCCTGGCTGCTGGCTTCAGATCAACCTGGCTTCCAGCCATTGTGGCCATTTGGGGAGTGAACCAGCAGACAGAAGATCTCTATTTCTCCCTCTAACTCTGCCTTTCAACTCAAACAAAAAAAAAACAAAAAAACAACAACCCTGTTATGTAGTACCTGAGAATATGTACATGTCATGTTGATAAAGTATCTGGAGCCTGCTTACCCGATTTTAACGGGAGATACTGTTCTTAGAACTGTCATCAAACCACACTGGACTTTAAGACTTTAAGTACTAATAATACTCTACCAACCATTAATAATATTATTAATGGCTCAGGAACTGAGTAAATTACAGCAATTTAAAATGATTAATATTTTAAAAACATAGGTTTTGAAGGGTCACCTTATAAATGTCAGTAAATGTTGTGTAAGCTATCAAAATACAAACGAGATTAAGGTTTAATGTGATAGAAAAGAAGTACTTTATGAAACAGGACTAGCATTGATCGATGCAGTTTAAGAAAAATACTGAATTGAGGAACATATGAATTGTAGCCCCCGCTCACTTGAGATTTAAAAAGAAAAAATTTCATAATATGAAATTTCACTTTCTAAATATAATAAAGTTCTGTAAAATCATTAATATAAAATTAACAAATAGAGGCAAAAGATCAAGACTTCTGAGCCAAACCAAACTTAGAGCAAAACATTTATTTTTCTTGTGCTACAAAAACAAAAATAAATCCAAGCAGATCCTGGGTTCTCCATCCTAGAATTTAGTCAACAGTTCAAGTTTAGGTTACTTCAAAATTTCTTCTGAAAGTTATGAAGTCTCCATCTTGTAACCATGTTTCTCCAGTTCAGCTCTACAAGAAAACACAAAGAATAACTTAGCATCCTTGATAAATTCTTAATAAGTATAGTAAATTAATGAGTTAAACATGGGGCACTAGTTTAAAATATTACCAAATAGCTTTGTTTCAGTCCCTAAAAAATCTATGAAGGAGACTGGATGTGAGTCAATATAATACTAAAAAATTTTGCTTTTGCCATTAGTTAACTGATATTTTATCTTACTTAATTTCCTGATAAATTTACTAATGGAAGAAATTTACGCAATTTATTGCTATTTCTGAATACTACATGTATTTTTTGTTCCTAATAAATATTTAAACATCAATTTGAGAGTCATTAATCTTACTGCTAAATACATACTGAAATGAAGCCTTTAGGGATTTCATGATCACCAGATGCAGCATTAGTATTACAGATACAGAAAAAAATAAACAGTTTGACATGTATCTACTGCTCTAACCAAGAAAAAGTTATTCATCAAACTTAAGGATATATGACAATCTTCTGTATTAACTATTTTTAGTCAAAAATAAAAATAACACCATGACTATTAAATAATACTTTACTTTCCTAATCTCAAATGTGGATGAAAATCTCAAATGTTTCTATAGGTATGGGGTCAGCACTGTGGCGTACAAGGTTAAGCCTCCACCTGCAGCACCAGCATCCCATATGGGTACCAATTCAAATCCTGGCTGCTCCACTTCTGATTCAGCTCCCTACTAATGCACCTGGCAGAGCAGTGGAGGATGGCCCAAATACTTGGGCCCCTGCACCCATATAGGAGACCTGGAGGAAGCTCCTTGCCCTGGATGTCTTGGCCATTTGGGGATGGAAGGTTTCCCTCTCTGTAACTCTGCCTTTTGATTAAATAAGTGAATAAAATGAAAAAGCTTATGTTGGTATAAATACAAAGACTTTTTAAAAATAATTTTAAATCATTTATCCAATCTGATGTTTTAGTCATATATTTTGAGAATTTCCACTGCAATTGTTATTTGCCTTATATAAAACATTTGCTCAAAAGTTTACCCCTGTAATCAACTTCAACATTAAACTACTATTTCAAATATAAACAGCAACTTATCTGCCACAGATTTTACAACTTATTTGCCACAGTTCATGGCGAAATTATCGGAGGTCTAATCTGTCATAAAACATTGTATAAATATGATTAATAAACTTTATATCCAGTAAGATAAAAAGATGTGTTCCCACGTATAATTTGGCATAGATACCATCATACTATCCAATGGAAACACTTTGTAAAAAACACGTAACAGGAATGGTGTGTCGTGTTTATTATTCATTTCCCCAAACTCCTTCATTCTCCTAAAAATTTGTTATTTATAATACTGACCTAATTTCCATGAACTATTTAAAGGCCAGAGATTACTCAAATGAATCATCCTTGTCGTCTTCTCAGGTGCAGAGCACAGTATGAGCTGCTGGGATAAACAGTGGATTAGGGGTCAGGAGTCCAGCGCAAGCCTTCTATTCTGACCCTTCCTTTGGGAACTAAATTAAATAGCTCCCTTTGGCCTCCTTCCCCTTCTTTAGGAAACCCAAGATTACAGTATCCGTTCTTCATTCACAGTAACTCATCTCCATTCTCTGAGGTTTAAATAAGAGTTACACAAATGTAATGTAGCATTAACATAAGAACCGAAGCTGAAGGGAAAAGATGCTAGCTTCACTGACCACAGAAAATGCTGTAAATATTTCCTAAAAACCTTTCTTTAAGGAATGTGATAAATGTCTTTGAATTTTATCTTCTGGTAAAATTTTTTAACTTTCCTATTTACAATGAAAATGATTTTACAGCTTTCTTAAACATTAGTTTTCTGCTTCCTTTTACAAATAGAAGTAGAAAGAATGGGGCCATCTTTGTCTCCAAGTAACTAAGACATCATGGTTTTTGTTGCTTCTGTTATCATTTGTTACACACAGTAGAAATTTACAAGATGTTTCCCAACCCTGTGCCCAGTCTTAGATAAAATCTCCAAGAAGACAGTATAGTTCCTGATCTACCATGTCAGATAGAACCACTGTAATAAAGCCAAATAATTTCTTTGATAGAGGGATTCTCAAACCTGCTAGGGGCTTAGACTTTTTTCTTGTTTTGTTGCTTTTGTTTTAAATAGGCTGTATCAATTATGTGTCTTATTTCAGTTGTGCTGGATTTCTTCTTTTTGTTGGATTTTTTTCTGTTTAGTAGCCTCCTCACATTAGTGTGTTTTATATTTGTGCTTTGTACTTAGTGACCTCAATTTCTTTTTCTTTTGGTTTCTTACAAATTCTAGCAAAGAATTTTTAGTCTTGTTTAAGAACTTGGCTGACTGTAAGCATTTCATCATCTCCCTGTTTGTGAACAATTTATAAGTAAAATTGGTGACCCTTTTTTTTTTTTTTTTGGACAGGTAGTTAGACAGTGAAAGAGAGAGAGAGAAAGGTCTTCCTTTTCGTTGGTTCATTCCCCAAATGGTCGCTACGAGTGGTGTGTTGCAGTTGGCATGCCGCCTATCAGAAGCCAGGAGCCAGGTGCTTCCTCCTGGTCTCCCATGCAGGTGCAGGGGCCCAAGTACTTGGGCCATCCTCCACTGCCTTGCCAGGCCACAGCAGAGAGCTGGACTGGAAGTGAAGCAGCAGAGTCTCGAACCGGCGTACATATGGAAAGATGGCGCTTCAGGCCAGGGCATTAACCCGCTGTGCCATAGCACCAGCCCCGACCACCTCTTAACCACAGTGATAAATACACAGAAACTTGAAGACCAAATTTTATGTTCTTGTTATTTAGGTCTGAGGTTGAACTTTGGCTTTTTGCAATGACCAGGGCTGGGCCAGGCCAAAGCCAAGAGCCAAGACTTCATCCGGGTCTCCCAAGTAGATATGGGGCATGAGTACTTGAGCCATCTTTTGCTGCTTTCCCAAGTGCATTAGCACGTAGCTGGATTGGAAGCAGAGCAGCTGGAGATTGGAACCAGTGTCCATATGAATGCAGGCCACAATGCTGTCCAGAAGACAACATTTTTTCTTTATAGAGAGTATGAGAGACAGAAAGGTCTTTCTTTTGCTGGTTCACTCCTCAAATGGCTGCCAACAGCCAGAGCTGAGCCGATCCAAAGCCAGGAGCTTCTTCTGGGTCTCCCATGCAGGTGCAGGGGCCCAAGCACTTGGGCCATCTTCTGCTTTCCCAGGCCATAGCAGTCTGGATAGAAGAGGAGCAGCCAGGACATGAACCAGCACCCATGTGGGATGCCGGTGCTGCAATTGGAGGCTTTGCCTACTGCACGACAGTGCCAGCCCCCAGTAGACAACATTTTTAAAACAAGGACTGTCCATGGCTCTGAATTCAGTACAGTAGTCATGTGGTTATTTAAATTAAATAAAATACAGAATTCATTTCCTCAGCTGACTAGGCGCATCACAATTGCTCAAAACTCCCAAAGGACTGATGGCTTCTCTGCTAGATAATGTAGCTTACAGAACATTGTCATCACTATACTCAATTTGACAGTACTAGTGACAAATCAACAATCTTAGCGAGGAAGAAACTCATGACTCAAATAAGGAAATAAATACAACAGAGAATGTAAGAGCACTTGGAAGTGTATTACAGAAACAGTAAGCCACAAAGAATATATAGGTCAGGCTTTATTTCTAAACCATTTCAAAGGAAAGAAGTAGTAGTGATGAGGAATTCAATTATCAACATTGACTACTAAAAATCCCTTGAAAAAATTCATAATACTCAATTATGTCTTGAAAATTTTAGATAAAAGTGTACTTTTATGGCTAAAAGAAAACAAAAGAAGCAACTCTGGAGAAATTGAATTCTTTTGAATGGCAAAGGAAGAAAACTCAACCTCAACTTTCAAAGAATTCACCCCCCCCCCAATTAAAAAGCCACCCAAAACCGTAAAATATGATTAAGAACTTGGAATAAAGCTCAATAGCACTGGAAGGTCGAAAATAATTTAATTCCAATGAGGAAGAAAGAGGAGAGAGGTATTTCATAATTTTTTAAAAAAGGTAGCAGGGTGTTCTCTGAGGTCATTTTTAAAAGACAAATGTAGGGTCAAATGTGGTACAACGGGATAGGCTACCGAGTTTTTGGCACTGGCAACTCACATGGAATACCAGAGAGCTGGCTTGAATTCCAGCTGCTCTACTTCAGATCCAGGTCCCTGCTGATGTACCTAGGGAAGCAGCGAAAGATGGCCCAAGCTTGGGACCCTCCCTCCCCATGCAGGAGATCAAGATGACATTCCTGGCTCCTGGCCATGGTGTGGCCTACATCTGGCTGTTGGGGCCTTTTGGGGAGTAAATCGGGAGATCAAAGAGGCCTCTTTCTCTGCCACTCTGCCTTTCAAATAAATAAATAAATTAACCTGATCCCAGAATGGGCTGAGATTTGTAAAAAGAACAGAAAAGCCTTTGGCCAACTGTTTATTGGCCAACAAGAATCAGAAAGGAAAGGGCCAATGCTTGGAATACATGGTGAAACATAAACAGATTTTAGAGAAAAAGCACGATTATTGTTCAAAACTGTCATTCATATCTTGCCCACAAAACTGTAAAAGGAAAACGCGTCATCATTAAGACAAAATTGAAAACTAAGACAGGTGAGACAACTCCAAATTGCATTAAAGCAGTTTAAAGTCTCAAGGTAATAATTACATCTCAGGGTACTGGAAGAGCCAAAAGACAGTCAAAATTCAGTTAGCAAGGTTTGAGAAATCATGCAGAGTTGCAAAAGAACCAGAATAATAGTAAAACACAAATTGCACTATTTCCAAAGAGGAGAAAGAAGATGGGTAAAAGTATTATCAGCCTCCAGCAAAACTGTAGTCTTCAAAATACAAAGGTTTTAAGCTAATTTTTTTTAAATATTGATTTTATTTATTTGAAAGACAGTTACAGGGACACAGGTAGAGTGAGAGAGAGAGAAAGAGAGAGAGAGGTCTTCTATCTGCTGGTTCACTTCCCAATGGCCGCAACAGCCAGAGCTGAGCTGATCTGAAGCCAGGAACCAGGAGCTTCCTCCTGGTCTCCCATGGGGGTTCAGGGACCAAGCACTTGGGCCATCTTCTACTGCTTTCCCAGGTCATAGCAGAGAGCTGGATCGGAAGTGGAGCAGCTAGGACTTGAACTGGCACCCATATGTGATGCCAGCATCACAGACCCAGGCTTTAACCTGCTGCACCACAATGCCAGCTCGTAAGCTCATTTTATGAAAAATGAAGTGTAAATCAAATACAATTTTCTCACTATTAAAAATACATTTTTAAAACTCATTAAAAATTTCTCACTTCCTTTTTAAGCAAGCACACTAGATTAGTTGATTAGAAGATTACACTAATCCTTCTGTATCATGAATGGAGCCAAACATGCTTCGATATCCTTATTACTAAGACAGGTAAAATCAAACTGAAACAAAACAAAATCAGGAGGGGAACAAGACCTTATTAAGACTGCTGCTGAGATAATGGTATATCCACATGCAAAGGAATAAGCTGGATCCCTTCTTCAAATCATATACTACAATTAATTCAAAATGTACAAACACCTAAATGTAATAGCTAAATTATAAACTCTTAGAAAAAAACATAAGAATAAAACTTCATTACTTTCAACTCAGCAATGAATTCTTTATTTTTTTTTCAATGAATTGTTAAATGATACAAAAAGCAAAGTAACAAAAGAAAAAAAAAAACAGGTAAAATAGAATTCATAAAAATTAAAATCTTTTGCAGGGGGCCAGTGCTGTGGCACAGCAGGTAAAGCCGCCACTTATGATACCAGCATCCCACATGGGCCCAAGTTCATGTTCTGCTGCTTGACTTCTAATTCAGCTCCCTGCTAACGGCCTGGGAAAAGCAACAGAAGAGGCCCAAGTGCATACCTGCCACCCACATGAGAGACTTGGATGAAGCTCCTGAGTTAGGCCTGGCACCATGCTGGCCACTGTAGCCACCCTGGAGGGGGCGGGGGGGGGGGGCGGTGTTGTGTGTGAACCAGTGGATGGAAGATCCGTCTTTCCTTTTCTTTCAAAATAAATAAATAAATCTTAAAAAAAAAAAAAAACCAACCAACACCTTTTGTGCAAAAAACACTATATGAAGAAAGTTAAAAGATGACCTAACAGAAGAAAGTATCTGCAAGTTCTTTATCTGATAAGGATTTAGAATCCAGAATACACAAAGTCTTAGAACTCAAAAAAAAAAAAAAAAAAGACAAAAGAAGCCCAATTTAAAAATGGGAAAAGCATTTGACTTGAGTAGACATTTCTCCAAACAACATACACCAATGGCCAATAAGCACATGAGAACATTAGTCATCAGGAAATTCAAATCAAAACCACAAGGAGGTAATAAGGTACCACTTAACATTCTTCACTTATAGAAAGTCATTAATAAAAAAAGAAAACAACTTTTGTGAGGTGAGGATCTGGAGAAACTGGAACTTTTATACATTGCTAGTAGGAGTATATAAAACTGTTCAACTGCTGTTGGCAGTTTCTCAAAAAGTTGAACACTGAATTATACAACCAATAGAACTACCAATTTTACTTTGTGGTATATACCCCTCAAAGTTGACAACAGGCACTCAAATACATGCCCATCTTGTTCACAACAGCCAAAGGGTGAACACAGCCCAAATGTCCATCAGCTGACGAATGAATAAATAAAATACATCAATATAATGGAATATTATTTAGCCTTAAGAAGGGATGAAATATTGACAGGTGCTACAATGTAGATGAATTTTTTAAAAAAAATCATGCTAAGTGAAAGAATGTAGACATATAAACACACACGCTGTATGATCCTATTTTCATGTAATATCCAGAACAGGTAAATCCATACAGTCAGAACGCAGACAGCCACTGCTAGCAGAAGGGGAAATGAAAAGTGACTGTTTAATGAGTATGGTATGAGGTCTGCTTTTGGAAATACTGGAACTAAATAGAGAAGGTAGTTATACAGTGTCATGTAAGTATACTAAATGCCACTGAATTTTGTACTTTAAATGTTTAATTTTGTGTTATATGAATTTTACTTCAATAAATAAAATTTGGTAGATTTATACATGAATATGGAAAAATATACTCCAAGCCCCCAAATCCATTCCAGTTTGAGCAACAATCTACTGGGTCTCAACCCTCTATGTTTCAAATTTCTGAGTTTTTCAATTTTGGTGGGAAATTAATTAACACAGAACAGAATTAAACATACAAAGATAAAACAGAAAAATATGATTCCATTTAACTATCTTTGTAAAGAAACAAGAATAAAATTTATATATACACAATTACACAAAATATTCATGTTCAGAAGCACAGGAGATGAAGGCAATGTGTCTTACTTTTACATAATTCGAATTTCAAAGATTAAGTGTCTTACCCTGTGCTTATAAAGAATACTGAGCTATATTAAAAAATTGGCTTGAAACTTACCGCAACTGATTGGAGAAGTCATCCTCGACATTGTCATCATCCCAATTATCCTCCCAGACATGTGCATCTTCATCTTCATCTAAACCAGCCCAGTCTAAAAACAGAAAAACACATGCTGTCTAAATACTTCTCAGACATTATTTCCACAAATAGAAAAACTTCAGAAAATTTTCTGATGAACATAGGACAACTATGTAGTACTATGTAATATTATGGTAATCTTCTAAAATCTCAAAGTGCATGCTGCCTTGTTCTTTCACTCTTAAATTTGCAGGAAATCTAAAACATGACTTAATAAAAACGAAATCCCACTTGCCATGAAAACTTTAATTTCAAGATGATACTTTTTCTTTGAGCTCATGTTTATAGTCTATTTCATATTCTTTCAAAATAGCAGCAGCAACTTAAAGAAAGCAGACAAGCAGAAAGATAACAGTGTGAAATTCAAAACACGAAAAAGGATCACTCACATACAGATGCTGAAAAGTACGCGAGGAACAGGCACTCAGTCTAGCAGTTAAGATGCCGTGATCCACACCAGAGTGGCTGGGTTTGATTCCCAGCTCAAGCTCCTGATTCTAGCTCCCTGTCAATGCAGACCCTGGAGGCAGTGATGACTCAGTAACTGGGTTCCTGATACCAGAGACCTGGACTGTGTTACCAGCTCCTGGCTCCTGCTCTGCCCAGTTCTGGCTACTATGGGCATTTGGGGAATGAATCTGCAGATGAGAGTTCTCTGTTTCTCTCTACCTTTCGATTAGAAAAAAAAAAAAAAAAAGTAGATTAAATTATAGGCCATCATTAATGTTTGGCTACTATCATCAATATAAAATTTGGGCTTTAATTATAAATATACATAAAGAATTAAATAGTTTTTAGTTTTCTAAATTTCTTCTTTTCTTCCTTTGCTTTTAGGGTACAGGGGAGATTTAGACTAAGATTCTAGCTTCTGTTTGGAATATTAAAAATATATACATATATAAACTAACATCTCCAGGCAGGTTAATAATAAGAAATATTAAGAAAGTAATACTATTAAGACAGAAATTAGAGACTATTAAGTACTATCAAAAAGACAGCTTTCCTACAACCTAATCTCTAATCATCACTTACATTTCAGAAACCAAGGAGCACACAGAGAAATAGGCTTAAGCTCCTGAACACTACTCCTGAGGCAGAACGTTCAAATTAGGACTGCATTCCCAGGTCACACTCTCCTTTAGTGCCATCCTAAGTGATGTATTTTAGCAATATGATTTCCAAATTTGTCTCCCATGCAGAACTCTTTCTTGAATTTTAGCATTCTACGTATAATTGTCTACTGGACACAAGCTCAACACCACCAAAATCTAGTTAATTTTCTTCAGTTACTAGTACCCCTAACCAACATGCTTTTCTGGCATCACTAAGGAAATACGCAAACGTATCCACTCAGTCATATCAAATGCTGGGTGAGTCATCTTAAATTTTTTCTCTTCATGACCCAGTCCTGCCATTCTATCCCTTGAATCATTTTCCAATATATTCCTGTGTCTCCATCCATATCAGACACTCCCATTACTCTGTCTCACCTATACAATGCTAATATTCTTCCAAGATATTCTTCTTGCTATTACTGTCTTATGCATTAAAAATCGGGTCTGTAGGGTGCTAACATCACCAAATCCTCTTGTCATCTTAATTACCTCAAACAATCTTGGAACCAACAGTTCCAAGCACACCCTGCTCTCTTCTTTTGGTTTACGCCTATTATAATTTTATCACGGCATTACATTTGAAAACACACATACACACTGCATTATACTGTATTATGCATTTTTTAAATAAAAAGATTTTAAATTATTAACATTAAGACCCATTGGGAAGACTCCCTGATATTAGTCACTGTGGCTCTCTCCTATACATACCATACCTGAAAAATCTAACAGAGAATAACCCACAAGATCTTCATTTTTAATTCAGCTTCAGCATGGTTTGGCTTTGTATTTTAAGTTTCTATAAAATGGCTAAAACTGAAGACTGCTTACAAATTAGGGGCTTTTGGAGACACAGAAGGTCTTAAAGAAAACTGTATCATGGAACTTTAAAAAGTTCGTGGAAGGGCCTGCTCTGTGGTGTACTAAGCTAAGCTTCCACCTGTGGGGCCAGCATTCTACATTGGCAATGGTTCCAGTCTTGCTGCTCCCCTTCAGATCCGGCTCATTACTACGACCTGGGAAAGCAGTCGATGAGCCCAAGTGCTTGGGCCCCTGCACCAGCATGGGAGACTTAGGAGAAGCTCCTGGCTCTTGGCTTTGGATGGGTGCAGCTCCAGCCATTGTGGCCATTTGGGGAATAAACCAACGGATGGAAGACTGTCCCCCTCCCCCGTAACTCTGCCTTTCAAATAAATAAATAAATAAATCTTTGAAAAACAATTAAAAAACTAAAAAGTCCACAGATGGGCATTATGGTGCAGTGACGTATACTGCTGCTTGGGATGCCCACATGCCATACTGAAGTCCCAGCTCTCCTCCCAATCTAGCTTCCTGTTAGTGTGCACCTTGGGAGGCAGCAGATAATGGCTCAAGTATTAAGCCCCTGACACCAATATGGGAGACCTAGATGAAATTCCTAGCTACTGACTTCAGCCTGGCCCTGCCCTGGCTGTTGCAGGCACTTGGAAAGTGAACCAGCATAGAGAAAATCTTGCTCTCTTTCTCTGCTGCTCTGCCCTTCAAATAAATAAGCTTAAAAAAATCATTAAAGATCTATGCATGGATTTCCAGATGTTTTGTACCAAAGTAAACTCATCCTGTAATTCAGTTTTTTTTTCATTTTATTTATTTATTTATTTACTTACTTGAAAGGCAGAGTTACAGAGAGGCAGAAATAGAGAGAGGTCTTCCATCCACTGGTTTACTTCCCTGATGACTGCAATGGCCAGAGCTGTGCTGATCCAAAGCCAGTAGCCAGGAACTTGTTTCGGGCCTCCCACAAGAGTGCAGGGGCCTAAGGATTTGGGCTATCTTGTACTGCTTTCCCGGGCCATAACAGAGAACTGGATCAGAAGTGGAACAGCCGGGACTCAAACTGGTACCCATATGAGATGCTGGCGCGTCACGCCAGGACATTAACCCGCTGTGCCACAGCACTTGCCTCTCCACGAACTTTCCACAGCACCCAATATCCTTCTTTGTTTGAAAACTGTCACCATTACCACTACCAAAATATAGATAAATGTAAAGAATGCCTTACAAAAAAATATTTTATAACCTCTCTTCAAGCATTATTTTCATAAATCTCAGATGTTATATGCTGTCGAATTAAATATGTTTTATGGATATTTAAGGTGTCTTTATAAAGATATCTAATGGGAGTTTAATTTTCCAAAATCATGTGAATAAAGACTGGGTACTCTTATTTCAAGATTTATTTATTCATTTGAAAGGCAAAGTTACAGAGAGGCAGAGGCACAGAGACAGAGAAAAGTCTTCTATCTCCTGGTTCATTACCCAAATGGCTGCCAACAGCCTCAGATGGGCTGACCTGAAGCCAGGAGCCTCCCCTGGGTTTCCCATGCAGGTGCAGGGACCCAAGGACTTAGGTCATCTTCCAATGCTTTCCCAGGTCACAGCAGAGAGATGGATCAGAAGTGAGCAGCCACGACCTGAACCCGCATCCATGTGGGATGCTGGCACTGCAGACAGCAGCTTTACTCACTATACCACAGCGCTAGCGCCTGGATACTCTGTTCTTGAATAAAAAGGGTAACGTAACCTAAATTGATGAAACTGGCTTTACAGTTCTAAGACACTGAGTCTCTAGTCAGCCTGAACCACTTTCAACCACCTGTCTTTTAAAGCAATTGCCTTTTTAGGAACAGTAAATTATAGGCCCTCAGGAACTTTTATTCTAATTATGACTTCATTCAAAATGTTGATTTCAGTATCACAATTACTTGAAGTCATTCAAATGTCTCCAAGCCTGCTTACACTTTGGAAAACAAAAACTTGCTAACTTGTGGCCAAATACCTCAGGGAATCACCAATCCAAAAGGAAACACAAGAATCAAAAACTGTTTTATAGCAGTGCAATTCTTAAAAAAAAAAAAAAAATTGAAAGAGTTACCAGTTAAGAAAGAGAGCCAGACAGACAGATCTTCCATCCACTGGTTTAATTCCCAAATGTCTACAACAGCCAGGGCTGGGCTATGCTAAAGCCAGGAGCTCGTAACTCTATATACATCTACCACGTGGGTAGCATCGGCCCAAGACTGTCTTTGCAGGCACATTAGCAGGGATTTTGCATTGTAAGTGGAGCAGCCAGGACTCCAACCAATGCTCACATGGGCTGTCAGTGGTTTAACCCTCTTTGCCACAATGCCAGTCAGGAGTGCCAGTTCTTAACATGAAAAAAGTCAGTACTCATTTAGCCTAAGTAGCATACGCCTCCTCCTCCTCTAACGAGCATCTCATGTTAGGGCAACAAAAGCAATAAGGTAGAAATAAAGTTCCAAGAAAAAGAAACTGGCTCCGGAGAGGGGAACAACAGTACTTTGTGTAAGGTTTTAGGTAGACTACACACAAAAAGATTCATGTTAGCACCATATTTCCTTGGTGTTATTATACAGTACTTCATAATTATGATACTACTATATATACAAAGATGAACAAGCTGGTCAAATTCTTCTTTAATCATCATATAAATTCACTCTTTAATATCTTATCCCAGGAGTAAGATGTATCAAAATGTACATAATACAGTAACATTCTTCCAATTATTAAAATGAAAAAATATACAACTTTTTTTAAAGATTTATTTTAAAAATTTTTTTAAAGATTTATTTTATTTATTTGAAAGAGTTGCAGAGAGAGAGAGAGAGAGAGAGAGAGGTCGTCCATCCACTGGTTCACTCCCCAGGTGGCCGCACCTGTGCCAATCCGAAGCAGGAGCCAGGAGCCTTCTCAGGGTCTCCCACATGGGTGCAGGGGCCCAAATACTTGGGCCATCTTCTGCTACTTTCCTGGCCATAGCAGAGAGCTGGATCGGAAGTGGAGCAGCCAGGACTTGAACTGGTGCCCATATGGAATCTGGCACTACAGGTGGAGGCTT